TCTTCAGTGACTTGAGGCCACTGTTAGACCCTACCATAAGATCATTACTGATGGTGAAGCCAATTGAGAACATCGGATCTTATCACATGATTCAAAAGTCAAGAACTTTAGGGACACTCTATTGACATTTCCATCCAATTGCAAATCAACAGGGATTGCAACGTGCACAAAATCAGCATATTACACAAAATCAACATGGATCATAGTCTTGCACAAAATCAGCATGGATGTTTGTCAATTTTCCTTGTAAACCTTTATAGAAAAATTGCACAGTGTTAGCATAGATCTTAGCCAATTTTCTTTGTATAGCAACCTCATTGTACATATTTATTGACTTCAAGAATGAATGAAACATACAGCAGAATTATCCATTTTCTTCTTTAACATGGTATCAGCCTGACCGGTCCTCTTCTTCCTGTGTCCTCATGGCTGCTGTTCGTCAGATTCCCGCAAGCGTACGGGTTCGTTGACAAGTAATAATCGTGATGAGAGAGTTATCGTCCCACGAGGAATAATGATTAATTTTAGTATATTTGATATATTTGAATTCGTGTTTGCAACTAAAGGACGATCGAAGGAATAGTTAAAGTATTTTTCTATATCCAAAACTTGTGAAAATAATTAAATTTGGTTTAAAAAAATCAAATGTGTAAACGTATTGGATTTCCGACGCCATTGATTAATTCTTAGTTCTAATTCTCAACCAATAATAATTATCTCAATTTATGCAATTGCAACGATCGATAATTCCATTATTTATTTATTTATTTATTATTCTTTCCCAAGATATAATAAGCCTATGATTACCACGAGACGATCCTATTCCTAGTTCGAATTCATATGGCAAACATGCATTGACATTTAGGATTATCATATAAGATCGCACACGCCACAAATATTATTCCTAATATTTATTGCCCATGTGTCCCAATAATAGTGTTCTACCTATCGTGAGTTTTCCAACATTACGAAAAAGCAACTTATATTCCTAATGGTGCGCAAACATTAGAACAATCTAATTATGCATATTATTGGAATCACAACGCAATATTTAATATCAAACATAGGTCTCGAATTAAAACTAAAAATTAAACAATTTTGTCATCATCCAATACGTGAAAAGGAATTAGCCAAACATGATGCGAGAATTAACTAAATAACAGTGGAACGACATCACCGAAATTTGA